ATTGTGTCTCTGAAGACTTCTAACGTCAGGGAACCCATCCTTCTGAGGAGAAAGCAGCCCATTCCATTTTCAGACAGCTTCATGTTGTGTTTGATAACTCTGTCTCCCTGGAACTGCCATTCATTCACCCTAATTCTGCTGTCTGCAAAAACAAGGCTAAACCGCTTGCTCTGTGCTCAGCACCCCTCTGAGCTTTGCTTTACCAGGCGAATTGCTTCATAAACAGGTTTACTCTTGCCCATCCACTCTTGCCTGAAGAGACTCCAATTTGTCGGTGACCCTCACTACCTGGGACCCCCAGAGCTCAGACTAGTTCTGACCAATCACAGTTCTATCCTGTCCTTGATCAGGGTGCTGCACACGTTTGATTGCAGCCTCAGGTTGAATATGTTCTCTGGGCAGCTGCATGGAACCCTCAACTAATACTAAGTTGTCAGTCAACAGATGATGTGAGTGGGGACATGTCAGGCACTCTTCACCAGCTTGGGCTACCAGAGCCAGAGTGATGAGGTCCCTAAATCATGCACATAATTTTGCTTCAACAAAAATTATTTATTTTGGCAAATACTTTGTCCAGATTTCCATAGCGATTTTCATTCCTCACCATGCAAGGGGTACTCTTTTTTCTTTTGCATACACAGAATGCGTTGGTTGGTTGGTTGGTTGGTTTTTGTTTTGTTTTGTTTCAGTTTTGATCCAGTGACAGTTAATCAACGGATGTCTAAAGAGGCAAAAGGAAAGTCAGACTCCTCACAGGCAGAATTGACTTGTAATCTCACACTGATCAGTTCCTTCACAACACAACCCCAGGATCCTTCTAATCAACAAATATGCTTGACCACAAAATTAAAAGGAACACTATTTTAACTCAAGAGTGACCAAAATAGACTGGTGAATGGGAGCTGATAATATGCTGCTATCCCTTAAAAGTCCCTGGTTCTAAATTAAATTGCTTATTTTCTTATTCTTTATATCTTGATCAATATTTAATTTTGTCATGGTCCTTGTAGGAATTTTTATTTACTGGGTTTATAATCTAAAATTGAAAGGAAAATGTCAAATATACTTTTAGAAAAATGCTTTAAAATATAAATTTTAGAGATCAGTGAACAAGCTAGAAGCCCCTTTATTAAAAAAAACAAAACAAAAACAAAAACAAAAAACAGATCCTGGACTAATCTCTCTCTTCTCCCTTATTCTGACCCTCTGAGGCAATCTACCCAAAGAAGCCTGAGCTATTGTCAAATGAACCCAGTCTTCTCACTTTACGAATGACAAGAAGTGATGTACAGATGAGTTTAAATGACTTGCTCAAGCTCATAGGGATAATGGTGGCCTCTAGTACACACCTCTCTTCTTCCAAACCGCTGATCCAGAATATCAGTATTGAAAGCATTCAGAGAGGCAAGAGATTGCTCTAGCGTGTGGTCTTTGGAGAAAACATCATGGAGGAACTGAAACTGAAAAGATGTAAGCTTTTTTTTTTTTAAACCAAATCTTACTTTCTTACCAAAATAACACATGCTAGCAATAGGAAGTTTGGGAACTGTTGAAAAGTACAAGGAAAGATGACAGGGCAAGTGACTCCTAACCCCAGCTGAGGAACACAGTACTTTCGGTGCATTTCTTTGGAGTCTTTTTTTCCTCACACATCATTTGTGGTTGTTTTCCATCATTGTGCTCATACTACATGACAAGAAACAGCATAACTCAAGGCGTCTTCCATGTTACAATAAATGCTTCATAAATACCATTTTAATTGCTATATAACAGTCCATATTTGAAATAATCTTAACCTTGCTCTTATTTTTGAATAATTAGGTAGAAAGGAAAGATTTAAAGGAAGGGGAGAAAGGTATCTAGAAGAGGATATGTACATACAGAAAATTAAAACATCTGAATACTCACAGATGTTTGAGCTTTGAGATTGTAGGTAATTTTTGTTTCATTCTTTATACTTTTCTCGGTGGAACAAAAACACTGATAAGCACATCTACTTTCATTGAGCATTTACTACATACTTTATGCCATGGATATTTCTCATTTAGTCCTAATAATGATTAACCAAGATCATCACTAGCCCATCTTCATTTTAAGGATAAGGAAAATGAGACCTGGAGATGTTAAGGGACCTGCAAAAGGTCAGTGGTAGAGTCTGAGTTGGTTCCTGGTCTTTATGAGGAGAATGCTTCTGTTCTTCACCACTATGCTATACATCCCAAGTTCTAATGGCTACCTACCATTGTTATCATCAGCAAGCTACTTCAAGAATGAAAATGGATTGCAAACAATAGTTCATTTCTGGTGTAAGAAGATAATTTACTACCTGTAGGGTATAAAAAAAATAAGCTACCAAAATTCCAGAACAGCTAGGAAAATCATCAATACATAAAATGCCCTCGGTCATGTCTAAAATGTTAAAAATTCAAATACATTTCAGGTTTCTCTGAAATTGACTAGGAATAGAAAAAAATAAGCAGTGTTAATTGCAGTTACTTGAATGAAGTCTGGATTTTGAGACCGGGAGAAGATTGATTGTGCTAAAAGTAGTCTTCTGTAATTAAATGAAACTATGCTGTGCACTTTAATTAGTCAGCAGAACTTATTCTAAGTGGTAACAGTCCTGCTGTATCTCATTAAATTAGAGCCTGGCAGCCCCACCTCAACTGGGGTTCTTGCCACAGCAGTCTTATTTATGCATCTACTGCTCTAATTTGAAACTGCAGGAAAGGTGATGCATCCGTTGGTAATCCAGATGTACACATTATAAAATCTTCTTCATTCTGTCGTTCAAAAGACTTGTAATAGCTTTAGATTCCAAGGAGTCTCACTAGGGGAACATAACTGCCTTAGAAAGTACTTGAAGTCATTGGCATTTCACATCTCCCATCAGGAGGCTTGGGAAAGTCAGTAAACATTATAAAATTCATTTGATAGATTTCTCTTTACTTCTCTGCAGACAAGTTGAACCTAAATCTTTGAAAAGCTATTCAAGAAAATGAATCTCCTCAGTATCTAAATGTGCAGGTTTTATGGTATTTTTAAAAAGGAAAGATAATTTTTCTTTGTACTGTTTTTTTAACCTTTTTAAAATTATAAAGGCAGTGCATACTTACGGAAAATTCAGGAAGTGCAGAAAAGCATAAAGAAGCAAGAAAAACATTACCATCATCCCTTCATTCAAAGACAGAATACTCTTAACATGGTAGGATATTTCCTTCCAGTCTTCTATCTCGCTGTTGAATATCTGAGATCATTCTGTTTGCATAATTTGGTATTCTGCGAGAAAGACTCACTGAAAAAGAAATCTTGAATTTTATTCCTAACCTTAACCTGGATAAGGGGTAGCCATTCCATGGGGCTTCTAGCATCTCAGCACAGATTGTCAAGATGCCTGCTGCCCTGAGCCTTTGTTGAGGGAGGCCTCCACTGGAGGGACAGGACCCATTTCTGGGGTAGGAATAAGTATTCTGGACATAATAAAAGACAAGAACGAGAAGTACTATTTATTTAGTAGCCTGAGATTAATCACATTGGGTTGACCCTTTTTCCTTGCACATCTGTATTCAGAAGAAATAAGCTTACAATTACTATTCAGAGCAACTTTGAAGAAGAGGTCCCACCACCAAGCAACCACCACCCAGGCATGAGGGTGGAGTAGAGAGTGAGGCTGGGAGGATTAGATGGTAAAAGTACAACCGTGATGCGACAGTGACAAATCACAGGATTTAACATCATAGATAATGAGATTTGCAGAGAAACTGGATCCCAGTCCCAGACTCAGGTGTTCAGGGAATACCAATTTCTTTGTTTTCTTTAAAGGAAGAGGTAGTTTCCAAGCATCTATCTTACCAAACTGGCAGGTAACTTAGTCTCAAGCACCAAATCTGGAAGGCGTAAGAGATGCCAGAGAACAAAGACAGAGCCTCTACCCTGTGTCTGCCATGCTGACTGCTGACAGCTAACCAAGCCCCCAGTGGTTCCTTGAAATCCAGTTTCTCTCCATTTCCCTACCATATGGGGATCAGAGTTCCCAGCACAGCCTCTCTCATCCTCTTGGAGGCTGGGTAGATTTGCCAGGGAAATACCTAAAAGCCAAGCATCATCTCCCACTCATCTCAGAACCTACCTCCTTCCTTCTCTTTCCCCACCCCTGGGAAGTTCCCCTTCCTCTCTTCGGTACTTTAAGATACCTGTCCCTTGTCCCCCTCCCCAGGACACCTAAAGTACCCCCTTCAGGCTTCATAAAATAGAAACCAATCAGGGACAGATCTTGCAGAAAAATTCTGCTTCAGTCCAGGAACACACACGTTCCTTGAAATAAAGGAGAGAAAACGGTCAGTTTCCCTTTTGGAAGATGTAGAGAAAAATTATAAAGAGAAAAATACAAAGTATTATTTTTCAAAACATCATCCTGCCATAGAAAAGATTCAGTTGAGTTTATACCCAAAGCCATCAGCACCAGGAGCCCATGTCTGCCATAAGGTGATGAGCGTGGGCTTACAAGCCAGACTGTGGTTTAAACCCTGTGCAATCCCAGCTTTACAACCAGAACCCTCTAGGCTCAGTTTTCCCTTTGCACAGTGCTTGGCAAAGTGTAGGGTCAACCAGTGTTGCTCCCCTTGTCCATGGCAGCTGCCTCCCCAGGCACTGCCCAGCCAGTCCCAAAGCAGTTGCTCTTAATTCCTCATATCCTAGGAGCAACTCTAGGGAAGACCGCCCCTCCCCAAATTTGTGCCTGGTACCCACACTTGAAACTGTTCAAGTAATGGATTTTTAGCTGAATTTGGCATAAGTCACAACTAATCAAGTTCATCTTGACCACCAAGTACCCTCCAGAAGCTCTTCAACCATGAGTATCATTGGATGTGGCCAGTTTGCACATTTTATTCCTCCTTAGAACTCATGTTGACCGATGAAGAAAACTGTCTCTCTGAAAATAAACCAAATGATATGGCATGTTCTTAAATCCATCTCTCTTCATTTTTCCTGTCTCCTAGTCAGATACAGAGTTTTGGGATAAGATGCAAGCAGAATGGGAAGAAATGGCCCGGAGGAACTGGATCTCCGAGAACCAGGAAGCTCAGAACCAAGTTACAGTCTCAGCCAGCGAGAAGGTGACCATTTCTCTTTTTACATATGCTGACCGGTTTTCTCAGCCTCTTTCGATCATATTTTTATAAAGTGGCTGATAACTATCTTGTGAAACATTCAAGAATTAAACAGAAAATTTAATGTCAATCTGACCTAGGAGAAATTCTGGTAGATAAACAGTATAATCATCCAGTATGTGAAGGCAGCAAAGCTGGAATGGAATTCTCATCTTTACCAATGTGCAGACAGACGGCTTGGCAGCCAACCAGAGCTTGGATCTTGATGGCTGGCCAGTTCCTGAACTAACATGGAGGGTGTGTTGGAGCAAGAACTGGGCTAATCTCGCCAGGCTTTTTATCAGTCCGCCACGTGACCCATGTTGAAGAGCTAACGGAAGTGGTACCAGTGGGCAGGGGAGTGAAGAGGGGGCTTAGGGCTGTATTTCACAGGTGGTCTCTATGCAGCTAGCAAAAAAATCCATGGAAAAGATGCCCTTCACACAACCAGGTCAGGTTTCAGGGGGATTCCTCAGAGCTATTTCCCTGACGAGAGGCCCAGCACATGTGTGAGTCCAGAGTAACCAGCCAAACTATCCATGAAGGTCCCAGTTGCTCTAGGATTTATGCTTTTAAAAGCACTTGGGGGGAAAAATAAACTCACTTGAGACAAGTTTAAATGACTTGAAAGCTAGAAAGGGATGTGGAATTTTCTTACACAGGGGAAATATATATGTATAGGTTTGTGTTACAGTTTATTCTGGCGGAGAAACTCCAATACTCGGTTCTGGATAACTTTCGTGATACTCAGTTCAATGCAACAAATGTTCATTGAGTGTTTTTTCTAGATGCTGGGGATTATGTTGAATAGTCTGATTTTAGGGGACTAGCCATCTACATAGTCATTAAAATGCCTTCCTCTTCCCAGTATTCTTTGTCCCACAATACTCCAGGCAATCTCCTAAAATCAGAACAACCATCTCATTAAAAATAACTTCTTTCCACAAAGAAATCAAAACTAAGTGAGACAAGAAAACATTGATGCACAACATCAGTCTCTGGGTTCTAATCCATGCACATGAGGGAGGCATGGCCAGGGCCCCAGATCCCTAACACCACTGCACGTGCTGGTCACACCCTGTGGATTCTGACAAAGGGTTTTGTCTTTCTAAGCACGTATAGAGAATGAAGGTCTCCATTTGATGTATTTTAAAAACCTTAGTAGCATCATCAACAGACTAGCTTATTTGTATCTATCATATCGGAAGGATTTTATGATCATCTCTGCTAAGGCTGCAACAAATAATATCTCTGATACTTCTGCTGAGAGTGTAAGTCGGGACATACTTTCTCAACAACAGTTCAGTTACACGTATCAAGGGCCTCAAAACAGCTCATAGCCTTTAGTGTGTTAAATCTCTCTAGAAGTCTGTCCTAAGGTAATCATACACAAAGGTTTGAGCATGAGGCTTTCACTGTAATTTTATTTAGGATGACAAAAAAATAAATTGGAAGTAAGCTGAATGTCCATCAAAAAGGAATTGATTAAATAATTTTAGCATAATATAAATAATTTTAATAACTAAAACTAAGGCTTAAGCTATAAGTATGAACTGATTTGTTTAATTTATATACATATAGAAAAATACTAGTTGATTATTTATACGTTCTGTATTGCTTAAATTTTTACAATAAAAAAAGGTCTATAAGTTTTAAAACATGCATTCTCAGTGGAGCAACAAATGGTTTGAGGCATAGAAGGTGAAAAAAAATCTTAGCTATCACAATGGTTTGTAGCCCTCCTAAGGACCACTATATATATGCAGATGTACAGTATGTGGTAGGCTGAGTGGCAGCACTTAGCAAAAATATGTCCCCAAAGTCAGTATTTTTTAAATCCTGGGGGGAAACAGCTAAAGTACCAAGAACAAAAGAAATATCAGAAGGAACACAAACTCTAAAATATTAGCAGCAGTCATATTTAGGTGGCAGCATTATGGGTAACTTTTTGTTTCTTTTTATAGTTATTCAATAACAGAATGTTATCTAACATTTCCCCAGTGAAAATGTACTACAGTCATAAAAAGGAAAAACATCAATTTCAATTTCATTGAAATTAAATAATTTAAGTAAATAAAATCAATTCAGATTTGAAAAGAACTGACTGGATGTAACAATGAAGAGATAAATCAGTGGATCCATGTTGGCCCTTCCCTGTGTTGTAGGGGTATTACTTTCACACTGAAAACCCCTTCAAGGACTGGCCAGGAGCGTTTGAAGAAGGCTTAAAAAGGCTGAAGGAAGGAGACCTGCCAGTCACCATCCTGTTCATGGAGGCGGCAATTCTTCAGGACCCCGGAGATGCAGAGGTACCATTTCCCTCCATCCCTCCAGGCTCAGGAAGGGGTTTGCTGTGCTAACAAGGGACAGAGCTCTACTGGGTGGCATTTTTATCAGTGTAAAGCTTCCCAAAGAAGTTAAGTCAGATAGGTGTTTGAAAGTTACATATAGGTAGATACCTGTTTTTTAATGAAATCTATGGTCCCCCAAAATAAAGGGTGGGGACAAGAAATGAAAAATCAAAACTGCCAACTTGGAGGCTCAGCGCAGGTTTTCAGGGGGCAGACTGGAGTTCTGTCTGGGTCTAGAGCCACACTACATCTCACCCTTGATTTACTCAGTCAACATTCATTGAGCACATACCATGTTCCAAGAATTGTGCCAGGCATTGGCTTAAAATATCGAAGAGCTGGGAAAAAATGGAACAGTTGAAAAGACACATTGGTGATCCATATGGAAGACAAGTAAATAAATCAATGCAGTGTAATGAGTGCAGTGTAATAAATGCAACATCAGAGGATGCACAGGACACTAGGAGAGCAGAGAGCAAGGATCCTGCCCCAGGTTTTCCTGACAAGCTGAGATTGGAAGGAGAGAGGATCAAAGACAGCAGGGGAATCAGCTGTTGTTAAGAGAGAATGGTTCGTGGGTGGGCAGAGGGACACAAAACACAGGTCCGTGGGGAGAAGGGAGGAGACAGTGGCAGGAGAGGAGGCAAGAAGACATAGGCAAGATTTTGAACTTCAGCCGGAAAGCCCCGGGGAGCCACCGTGGGAGAAGGACAGGACCAGATCTGCATGTTAGAAAAACCCCTTGCTCTGAGGTGTGAAGGGTGATTGGAGAGGGAGGCTGGGAGACCACTGAAGAGGCTTCTGCAGTTTTGTCTTGGTTCACAATGTTTCTCAAACTGTGAAGGCCTATAATCAGATGCTGGTAGGTTAAAGGGCTTCTTTTTTCATTTGTGAGTGGTTTTCAGGAAACAGAAGGGATATTCCCAGAGGAATCTGCAGAAACATATATACAGTGCTGAGAAGGCAGTACAGAATCATGGTTAAGCTTTGAAGCTCTGCTGTCCTGTGTGGGTTCAAACGCCCACTCTACCACTTGGCAGCCATGAGCCATGCCATCTAGGACAAGCCATTTAAACCCTCTAAGCTTCAGTTTCCTCACATGTAAAATGGAAATCACGGTTATAACTATCTCACTGTGTATTGTGAGGATTAAATTAGTTCATACAAATAAAGTGCTCAGTTCAGTGCCTGGTACATATTTAGCCTTCATTATTATTATTGGTTGTACTTAGTTTGTATAGAAATTACAAGTAAACTGATCACTAGATAAAGCTCCTAGTATCTTGTTAGTCAAAATGTTGATAGTGAAATGAGATTGAAATGAGAACTGGAATTCTGAATCAAAATACTACAATTTTTTAAAAGATCTATCATTTGGGAAAAGAAAATCAATGCATTGATAGGAAACTACAACCCACCCTACACCCCCAACAAAACAATGTCATCTTACATTTCTACACGCTGTATGTTTTCATACATATTATATCATTTGACACAACCACGCTGGGAAGTTTTTTTTTTTAAGGTATACATTATTATCCCAGATTCATGACTGAGAAAATGAGGGCACTTGGTAACTAATGGATCCTAGACAAGGAAGGACCCAAGGCTTCTGAATCACTGGAGACCCCAAGGCTAAGATAATAGATGATCTGTGAACAGTCAAAATGATACCACACCCAAAGGCTTGGAAGATGCCCCAGAGAAAGATTGCTTCATCAGTCTTTTCTTAAGAAGCATTCTGAGATGTGTGGAAGGTGAAATCAAAATAAAGACTGCTCTGTATAGATTCAAAAGATTAAAAAGAGTCACTGTTATTCTGGAAAGGGGTGAATAATTAGCATTTTCTTTGAGTTTTTATGGTATGTGTAATAATAACCCATGAGGGGAAAAGCCAATACAACTTTTACAGCGCTTTAAGATGTTTTCATATAGTTCTTTCATATACATGTTTTCATATAGTTCTGCTTTAAAATGTTCATAGCGTTGATTCTCAAAGGTGGGAGAGTTATGCAAACCTTTTAAAATCCCTAAGATTCTGATACAAATCTTTTTAAATCCCTAAGACTGATACGCCCCCAGCAAACGTGAGAACAATGTGTGTAATGAGAGGTTTTGTTGGTGTGTATTGTTCTTGTAATGGTGTGAGCATTACGGTTCTTACAAGGATAAAAGTACAAATTTGTTCCATTCAAAATTTCCATGAAAAATCTGCCTGAAGATATTCTTCACATTATTGACAACAGCAAAGGGCTGGAAACAACTTAGAGCAACAAGGGAACTGGTTAGGGAAATAATGGGATATCAGTTTAACAAAATTTAAATTAAAGATTATAAATAGGGGATTTTATAAAAACATGAAAGTGCTTATGTACAGTATGAAGTGTAAATGTAGGCTGTACAATTATATATACATTATATAGCCTTTATATCTGTTTTATGCTTTTTAACAGTGACTAATATTAAGTAGTGAACACATTGTCGGGGGGTTGTTTTGTTTCCCTGGTTCCTAAATTTCCTGTTACCTCTTCTAATACCTGCTTGACTTTCATTTATACAAGCTAACTTTCATTTATTAATTTGTACATCTTGAGATTCCTTATTGTAAACTTTAGGCTATTTAGCTACATTTCTGAGTTATTTTTCTACCTCTTTTCCTAACAGATGCATAGTTTTATCTATTTCTTTTGGTTTTAAGACCTAATATCACGAAACCTCAGAAACTCAGAGGTTCCCATGGGGAATAAATACTGCGAATTTGTAAGTGACAGAGAATCTTAACCCAGATGTCCCAAGAGAGTTTGAATGAAGAAATGCATGTGATATTTTTCCCTTTTACAAGGCTCTCACATCCGAGACAGGTTGCTCTGCATAGAGGGATCTGTCACATGTAAACAAACCAACAAGAGCGTGTGAGTGATTCTGCCCCTCTTGCAATGTTGACATGGGTTGTTTTTGCAGGCTTGGCAGTTCCTCGGGATAACCCAAGCAGAGAATGAAAACGAACAAGCAGCGATTGTTGCCCTCCAGAGGTAGGTGAAGCTAAGTGCAAACTCATGGGCCTGGTGGACTCTCCTAAATGGACCTGCTGCTGTTTCAGATTTGTCTTTTGACCCTTAAGTACATTGTAAAGAATTTGACCAGATGCCAAGTATTACTTAGACTTAGCTCTGGAAAGCAAGAACTTATGAAGAAACCGTGTTTCTAAGTCGTAGTGTTTTACCATTTACAAATCAATTGACCTTCATTGGCACAAGAGAATCTATGTCAAAAGCAGCCATAAAATAGATTCACTGAATCAATAGTTCCTTTTAACGTTCCAGACTTCGTCAGCACCTGAAAGTTTTGTTCAGGAAAAACGTACTCAAAATAATCTCACTATAATTTAGGTCCACATGTCTACGGAGAATCTCCTGAGATAGTTTCAGCAGCCGGAAAGTATAACTCCTGAGCCCCTGACTAAAGGTCTAGACCGCTTTGGGTGGGTGTAGCGTCTCGTCTTACTTGATTAGAGCCCCTATTTAAATCCTGGAAAAATAGTCCCTACCAAATAAACTTTCACTTCCCCTACCATTTCTTATAAAAAAGTAAATATGTAGATATAAATATATAGATATAATCTCTTCCTAAATAACTGATACAGGTACTACATAGGGCTTGCTCATCAAAGTCTTATCCAGGGACTACCAGCATCTCATCACCTGGGAGCTTGTCAGACCTGCATGGCCTCAGGCCGCCCCTACCCCAGGCCTGCTGTATCAGATTCTGTATTTTACCAGATCCCCAGATGATTCTCATGCACATCAACGATTGAAAAGCCCTTGCCAGAGGCCAGTGGAATAGCATGAGGGGGAGCAGCGATAGCCTGTGCCTCCTAAATCCACATCTGGAAACAAGGGAATCCCCTCTCCTTTACAAAACACTGCGCTGTCCTCTATCTCTGAATGTCCAGTATTAGTTCAAGTCAGTTTGCTTTGTGGATGAGATACATTTAATATATTGATAGTAAGCAGCATTAAAATAGTGGTATTCCCTACTTCTCATTAGATACACTTTATAGCTACTAATAAATTATGTGCAGGGATTAGCCACATTTTCTACAGTTTTTAAGCCATTTCATTAAAATTACCAAACCTGGCACTCCTCAGGATGAGTTATAACTTACTTAAAAATGTACATAGTTCCCAATTTCTATGTAGATAAATGTGCTATTTTCCAGGGATTTAACATAAACTTAGCAATGCTTTTGCACTGTTTAATTAATACAGACCTCAAATTTTCTAAAGAACTGTTCAGACTCTGGCTCCAAAAAAAAATCTGAAATTGGTTTTATTTATTTATTTATTTATTTATTTATTTATTTATTTATTTATTTTTGGTCTTCTTGCAGGTGCTTAGAATTGCAGCCCAACAACTTGAAAGCTTTGATGGCTTTGGCTGTGAGTTACACTAACACTGGCCATCAGCAGGATGCCTGTGAAGCTTTAAAGAACTGGATTAAACAAAATCCAAAGTACAAATACCTTGTGAAGAGCACGAAGGGATCTCCAGGCCTCACCCGGCGGATGTCTAAGTCTCCGGTTGACAGGTATCCTCATTAAACTGCATTCATGTACACAGTTCATCACCTTCAGGGCAATTAACAAGCCTCAGGTCCCCACCACCACGCATTTCAGGATGGTCTCCAGGACAGCATTCTGCTGAAGTAGCAGCACCAATTTAAAAGATTGATGCTGAGACCAGAGCCAAACGTTGGACAAGTGATCTACCCCGTGGACACTCACAGACGTTTATCTGAGTACCATTCATCAAAGCCAAATGCTTTGGACATGTAACAACCTAAAATAAGTTATAATAAAGACCAATGAGCTAAGTTTTATAAAGTCTGAGAATTAGATATGGGGAAAAGTGAAAGTCCTTTCTTCTGGGAATTTTATTTCTATCAGCAATAAATCATGACATTAAATTCTTTCTCACTGAGGCCTTAGGAAACTTAGCCCTGGAGTTTTCTACACTGGACTCAGAGGCTCAGTGGAACTCTCCTTGGGAAGACCTTACTTAACACAGTCTTATCTGTGTACAGCAAAGTATTTCATGAAAATTAGCAGGTATTTTTTAACATGCAGTATTCACAATCCTCTCATTAAGCTATTTTAAGCAAGATTTTCCCAGTCTATAATGTTCTCCTGGAACAGAGAACATAATAGTGAATCATTTATGTTCAGACTATTTGGATAACAAATCTAATTTTTTAACCTTGTAGCTCTGTTCTGGAAGGAGTGAAGGAATTATATCTAGAAGCTGCCCACCAAAATGGAGATATGATTGACCCAGATCTACAGACAGGTCTGGGAGTACTGTTCCACCTGAGCGGAGAATTTAACAGAGCAATAGATGCATTTAATGCTGCGTTAACTGTTCGGCCAGAGGTAAGTGCACAGCAAGAAACCATAAGGATCTCTGTTAATTTTCACAGGCCAGACTTAGGAAACTTACGCTACATTTTACTTCCCTGAATCCAGTGGTTTAAAGTGATCAACACTAATGAGATGCTACCTGGTTGTTAATACTTAAATACCTAAAGTAGAAACATGAGTTGCCTGACCTGACAGCATCAAATGGTAGCTGCTCTCTGAGGAAGGAAAGTCATTTCAGAGGGTGTCCAATAAGGTTTTCGAGTAATTCACCAGTCGTGTCCATGAGCACTGGATGATACGTTTTTAGCTATCATCCTTCTCTGGCAGGGGTGTGGGGATGCTCTGTCGCTGTGGCTTGTATGGGTTGTCAGAGAGCTCTGATTCTGTCATCAGGACTATTCATTATGGAATCGTCTGGGGGCGACCTTGGCAAATGGAGACCGCAGCGAGGAAGCAGTGGAGGCCTACACGCGAGCGCTGGAGATTCAGCCGGGCTTCATCCGGTCCAGATACAACCTGGGGATAAGCTGCATCAACCTGGGAGCCTACAGGTGAAGTATGGCAGCAGGGCTGGCAACCAAGAGCCATGCTCGGGGCTGAGGTTGAATGTTTCCCAGTAAAAATACCTCCTTTTGTAGAGTAATCTCGTGTTAAGGGTAAGTTTCAAACCTTCAAGTCGTGTGGCCTGTTGAAGCAGGAACAGTTTCCCTCTCTGTTTCTCAGCCTTGAGAGGGTAGCAGTCATGTGGGCACCTTGTGCCATGTTGATTCCCAGACCCTTCGCTCAGATTCTGACTTGACTGGGGGTGAGGACAAGTTATCTGGGTTTTTAACACCCTCAAGGGCAACTCTTTGAAAAACATGAGCCATCCAACCCTTCATTTCCAGGTAAGGAAAAAAACCATGAAGCTGGGGCAGGGGGACCACAGCAAAATGACTCAAGAAGGTCCCAGGACTAGTTGTTGGCAAAGCAGAACCAAGAATCCAGGTGTTCTAAGCCTAATTTACTAGTAAAGTTAGTTGTTGTTGTTTTTTTAAAAAGGAAAAAATTAAATGGTGGGTTTAGAGCTTGAAATGTCTTTCTTTTTCACTGGTGACGCCTCATTAACCTTCAGGTCTGTATCGTCTGTCTGTTCCCCATTGACATGGACCGTAAATGACCTTTATTTCTTTGGGGTAATACAAGTTTGGGTGCTTTATTTTCTTCTCTTTTCCTAGTCTTTCTAGGAAATACAGGTATTACTTTCATTGCTTGGGGGGGGAGAAATTAATGTTAGGGTTTATATTTTTGTAGAGTTTAAAACTTGCTCATTCTCAGAAAGAGCCAGGCTTTTAGAATCAGACAAGCTTGGGTTCAGATCACAGCTTGCCACTTACTAGTTTTATGGCTCTGGGCACAAAACTTTGAACCTCAGTTTCTCCACTTGCGTTTAAAAAAAAAAGAGAGGTAATAATATCTATCTTGCAAGATTATTCTGCAGGATAAATGTTAATTTCTGGTATACAGCAAAGTGATCCAGATCTATATACACAAATATGTGTGTGTATATATATATATATATATTCTTTTTCAGATCCTTTTCCATTATGGTTATTATAACATTGGATATAGTTCCCTGTGCTATACAGTATAAACTTGTTATTTATCTATTTTATATATAGTAGTGTGTACCTGCAAATCTCGAACTCTCAATTTATCCCTCCCTCTCCTTTCCCCTTTGGTAACCGTAAGTTTGTTTTCTGTCTGTGAGTCTATTTGTAAATAAGTTTATTTGCATCATTTTTTTAGGTTGCACATATAAGTGGTATCATATATTTGTCTTTCTCTGACTCCACTTAATATGATCATCTCTAGGTCCATCCATGTTGCTGCAAATGGCATTATTTCACTCTTTTTATGACTGAGTAATATTCCATTGTGTGTGCGAGCACGTGTGTGTGTGTGTGTGTGTGTATGTATGTATTTATATGCCACAACTTCTTTATCCACTTTGTTATCAGTGGACATTTAGGTTGTTTCCATGTCTTGGATATTGTTAATAGTGCTGCTGTGAACACTGGGGTGCATGTAAGTTTTGAATTAGTTTTCTTCCTTTCTGGATATATGCCCAAGAGTGGGATTGCTGGATTATATGCTAATTCTATTTTTAATTTTTGAAGAAACCTCCATACTGTTATTCATAGTGGCTGCTCCAGTTTACATTCCCACCAACAGTTTAAGAGGGTTCCCTTTTCTCCACACCCTCTCCAGCATATATTATTTGTAGACTCTTTAATGATGGCCATTCTGACTGGCGTGAGGTGATACCTCTTTGTAGTTTTGATTTGCATTTCTCTAATAATTAGCAATGTTGAGCATCTTCTGATGTGCCTGTTGGTAATCTGGATGTTTTCTTTGGAATGTCTAGTTAGGTCTTCTGCCCATTTTTTCGATAAGGTTGTGTTTTTTTTTGTTCTTGAGTTGTATGAGCTGTTTGTATATTTTGGAAACTAATCCCATGTCATTGGCATCATTTGCAAATATTTTCTCCTGGTGCGTAGGTTATCTTTTCATTTTATGGTTTCCTTTGTTGTGCAAAAGCTTGTAAGTTTGATTAGGTCCCATTTGTTTATTTTGGCTTTTATTTCTATTGCCTCGGAGACTGACCTAAGAAAACGTTGCTATGACTGAAGTCAGAGAATGTTTTGCCTGTGTTCTCTTCTAGGAATTTTATGGTCTTATTGTCTTATATTTAAGTCTTTAAGTCATTTTGAGTTTATTGTTGTGTATGATGTTGAGGGGTGTTCTAACTTCAGTGATTTACATGCTAAAGGAGGCCTTTCTAAAGCTTCCAGATGAGTTTTTCTTAACTGTAACTTCTTGTATAGAGAAAAAACACTTGAGGGGCAACAAAACACTTTCTTGGCATTCACAGATGTACATCTCAGTAGGGCAACTATTTGCAAGAGGCTATGAAAGTCCGTAACAGGTATAAATGGACAGACTTTGTTGAGGTGTGTATTTTTAATCTCAAGAAGAAAGTCTCCTATACAGGAGCAAGTCAGTTTTAGGGTGTCCAGATAAAATGCAGAGTGCCCAGCTAAATCTGAATTTCCAATAAACAGCAAATATATTTTAAGGTAAACATTTCCCAAATATTTCATGGGACATACTTATACTGAAAATTATTCATTGTTTATCTGAAATTCAACTTTAACTGTGCATCCTGTATTCCTCTTTGCTAAATCTGTCCATCTTGATCAATTAGGTACTTTGGAACAACCAAGTGTTTCGGCTAAACTTTGTGGGTCTTTTATTGTCATGCCAGATACGGGAAATCTTGAGAAGTGATAAACATCTTGCATTTTTTCCTGAGAAAAAAGACCATCAAGTGAGACATTAAATGGATTCTGAAAATAAGTTTTGCTTGAGGTGTCAGCAGATGCTTAGGAAATAACTCTCAGCAGAGGTGTGGCCCAGAAGCACGCCGGGAGCTGGTACCAGCACCTCTGTCTCCACCAGTCTCGGGACCTCTCCCTCAGGAACTGCAAGCGTCCGTGTACGCAGCTGTAACACACACCGTTTGTCATTTCACACATTCTGTAAAGAGTCAAAAACAAGCCTCCCCTCATACTGTATGCAGTTGAAATGAGAGTAAATTGTTGGCGTGAAACCTAGGTGGAGCTTAAAATGCTAGCCTTGGTCAGTAGGAGCTTCAAAGTAGAACTGAGACTAAAGAATCTTAACCTTTTCAAAAGGGAGGGCCCTTTTTTAATGACAACATAAATCTCATCCCCTTTGATAGTAATATTTTTAGTATTAGCATAATGTGGAAAAGCGACTATAAAATGAAGAATGCTTTTAAATGTGCTTATCATGCCAAATATTTAAAACAATTTAAACTTCTTACATATATGTGTGAAACATTTGAAAACGATTCACACTTGTACACTATACAATCTTCTGAGGCCCCCAAAAGGACTCTGAGTTCCCAAAGTTAGGGGACAGGGTTAGACTATCTTCATGGGAAAAACCTGGAGTTTCTTGACAAGGCTAACGAGTTAGACAGTTGTGCTCCTCTCAGGCCCTCAGAGACCGCGCCCCGGGGGCGGGAGCAGCCCGGGCAGGAGGGCGTTCCGGGATCTTCCTTCTCCAAGTTCTTACAGGCCCAGGATGATGAGAGGAAATGGAGTCAGTCATTCAAGCTGCCACCCTGTGCTGAGGAAGCCAGAAAGGGCTCCCAAAGTAAACTCTCCATGTGCATATGTTATGAATCCTCCTCTCTTACTTGGTTACAAGAAATCTAAAACGGGGGGGGGGGCGGTGATGCGAACACCCACTCCCTTCATAACCCAGGTTGCTACATACAGTGCAACCATTTCCCAATCACCCTTTATTTCCAGGCAGATCTAACAATTTACAAGAGCCAATGTCTGGATTGTGTGCACCAGAATCAGAAATCCAGCCTCGCTTTAAGATTTCTTACAGATGCTTGATGGTGACTACCTTGAAGGATTCAGTGGAGTTAAGTGTACGGAAAGCTTTTAAGAAGACCACAGAAGATACATGTTAAAGCGATGCCATTCTTAGCAAAGACAAGTTTGTCAGAAATGTAATAGGCGCCCCAGGAGACAGGGGAGCTGAAGAGGGCAGTCCTGGCAAGCAGACCAGATGCACGAGCAACAGAGCACAGTCGTGGACCAGAGGGGCTAGAGGGCTTTTGGACAGCATCTGACTCAGCAGGTCACAAGCTGTGTTCTCCGGACCCCTTTACACTTTAACAGTTACTGAGAACCTCAAGGGGCTTTTGTGTATGTGAGCTGTAGCTATCAATATTTACCATGTTGGAAATTAAACAGAAAAGTTTAAAAGAGTCATTGAAAAGTAATAATAATTATCTGTTAACAGAAATTATATATTTTACAAAAAATCATTCTCTAAAACAGTGAAGTGAGAAGAGTAGCATTCGTCATTTTTGCAAATTTCTTTAATATCTTGCTTAATAGAAGACAAATTCTCACATCTGCTTCTGCATTCATTTCATTGGGATACCATACATCATATAGTTGCTGGAAAATTCTATTGTATATTTATGAGAAAATGAAAGTAAAGAGGTAAAATAAACACCTCAGCAGTATTATAAAAGTAACTTTTACCTCACTACTCCCCAGAGTTCCCCAGACCACACGTGGAGAACTATTGATCTAACTTAATGATAAGAACTTTAACATAAATTGATTCAACTGCACCTCAGAACAAGGTTTTAAAATGACATCTATTCTCTCTGTAATGCAGCTGAGGAAACCAAGGCTTGGAGAAGCTAAGAAATTTGCCTGTGGCTAAATAACTGGGATTCAAGCCCAGGGGCTTTGATAACAAACTCCACTCAACCTCCTGGATTTCTTGTTTCTAAGTAAGGCCAGATGCTTCCTCTGATCATATAAATCATGCAAAAGTCTTCAAATCATTCCGGAGAGGGGGCAAATCAGAGGCATTAATGCTTTAGCAGTGGTTTTGCTATTACTTTTCCTGTCCCACGTGACATGTGTAAAATAAAATTTGCTTTCCTTTTTTCTTTCTGATTTCACTATTTAACAATACCTTTTCACAAAGGAATGAAGAGAAAATCAGAAAGTTGTTCATCTGATGATCCAAAACACCAGAGAGGTGATTTAGGATTTCAGACTGTGACAACTTAATTCATTTTTAAGTTTGCTAACTCAAATCTGTTGCATTTTTAAATGTCTGTTTTTCTACCCTCTTAGAGAAGCAGTCAGCAATTTTCTCACTGCCCTCAGTTTGCAAAGAAAGAGCAGGAATCAACAGCAAGTTCCTCATCCTGCAATCTCTGGGAACATCTGGGCTGCCCTCCGAATCGCCCTTTCTCTGATGGACCAACCGGAACTCTTCCAGGCAGCTAATCTCGGTGACCTGGATGTCCTCCTAAGAGCTTTCAACTTGGATCCTTGAAGGAAAAGAAAAAAGTAAAAAATAATAATCCCTCATCTGTGTAATTATACCGAGAAATACAAAACTATTTTATTATGAATTCCAACAAGGATAAAATGGATGTTCAAAGACCATGGTGATGTAACCCAAGAGAATTCCTACAGATAATGCCCAGTTTTGTTCGGATCCAAAAGCACAAAATGTTGCATACAGAGTCAGGGTTGGGCTCGAAAGAAGAACGGAGAGACACAAGACAACCCAAGATAAAGTATCGGTACGTGAACGCTCTTCACAAGCTGCAAACGTATTGCAAGTATTTTCTTTGGGGTTTTGTCCCCACTTGCAGCTGGTGACGCATCTAAGGAACTTGCTCATGGGATACCTAGAGGAAGCACTGCCTCGGATCAGGGACTTCTGACTGTTTCTGAACTGTCCCCTGAAATTCCCCCCTTCCCAGATTGAACATAGTTTGAGCCAAGGTGCATGCACATATATTAACTCTTGACTGAAGAGAGGCATTGCTTAAACCTGTTCCAGTTTTAGCTTTTCCTGTAGCCCTTTGATTCCAGAGAGGGAGCTTTGCTGGCAAAAGCTGTTTTTGCACTAGAAATTTTTGCTGTTCCCAATTAAAACTTTTCTGGGACTGTAAATATGCACTTTATTATCTTATTTATGCCTTGCTGGAGTTTTGTTTTGTTGCTCCAATTTTTAACTTGGGGGTGAAAGATTTGAGAACTCAGCCTTGTTAGATCAATGGACCAAATAAAAACTCCTGAAAATAGTTTTTCACAGTGTAGGATTTTGAAAGGAGTGTTTTTCTTAAAACAAATATGACATAGGGTGTAAATATTTCAAACATAGATCTTATTCTCATGCTTTTCTGGAACTGTATGAATATAAGCAAGAGATAAGGTAGCATCTCTTCACAGATTCTCTGCAGGGAGAAAGTGTGATATTGTGATTCCCACTGAGTTAACATTAACTTGCTTAACCGTCATATTTTCCTTGCTTTCTAACTGCCCTGCACATCTATATTCCTTTTAAACTGTCAATATTTTAAATAGTATTTAAGAGATAAATATTTTAAATAGTATTTGAGATAAATACATCTTTTCTTAAGAATTACTTGTTTTCTTAGTTCCACAATCTGCATTGCTCACTCTTTCGCATTTTAAGTGATAGAAGATCAGTTTTTTCTAGCTGAACCTCACGGAATGTCAGCGGTTTAATATGAATGATGCATGCCTGCCTCTCACTTTGAACATTTATCAAATATCAGGAATTTTCTGCTGGCAGTGTTTTATTTACTTGGTTATATTCTACTTAGTTCTTCAGAGTGTCTTCTGCCTGTTGGGAGTCTGGTGATGACTTGGAAAGACATCATTTTTTTAAAAATTAGAAAAGTTACAAAATGCTAACCAAAATATAACTTCACTGATGTCCAAGTCTAGTAATGAGTCATGGTGCACTGTCCCATTCTTCTTTTGTCTCCTTCCTTCTTCCAGACTCTTCCCCAAAGCAATTTGATCCCAACTTTTTCTTCATATTCTTTGGTTAGTAATAGCTGGTTACTCGCATGATCAGAGTTACCACGCAAAACAGCATTTGGCTCCGGAGTGTAACTGACTGGGGGAGGAGAGATGCACGTATGTGCTGAGACGTCCAGTCCCGGATCCAGGTAGGGATCTTCTCTCCTGTTGGAAGTTGCTGCGGTAGGAAGGGGAGCCAAGGACACATGAAACCACAAGTCCTTGAGGCTTCCATACATCATAACCTATTTCAGTTTGTAAGGACAAAGAGTTGAGGGCACTCTGGTGGTACCCAGCTTCTATCTTCCCATCAAAGCTCACTTGGGCTAGGTGATGCCGCCCGCTGGCCAGCAGGGGGCAGAGGCGTTCAGTCACTCACTGCTGGGCAGTAGATCACAACCCCATGTTGACCTGCTTTCCTGCAGACTGAGAAGCAAAATAAAGCTCAATATTTTCTAAAGAATAAATGGTATTATTTAGAATTTTAACATCCTAGAAACTCAGTCTGGGAGGGACTCTGGGCCAGCCTCCAACCCATGAGAGCTGCCTGCCTGAATATCCCGGATAGAACAGCATCCCTTCTCTGCGTGTTCCTCCTCCCAATCCTGTGCATTCACCAGCTGGCCAGCTGACACGTGCAGCCATCAGAGTCCATTAGGAGCAAACCTGACAGGTGTTCTGTTGATGTCATTCTACACTTCCAACAGTAACTGAATTTGCAGTAATGATCAGCTGTTTTCTTAGCCTTGCTGGCACTACCTGCGTGAGATCAGTAACAATTGAAAGCCTCACAGTAGCACAAGTGCAGGATATTTCAATTTGCTTATTGCTAAGTGGTGGCAAAGTCTGTAGCCCGTTTTATTCTGCTTTTGGAATACAAAGTAACTTCAAACTCCAAAAAGTTGTGTTAGAGTAGACAATGTTCCATTCCCATCATAATTTGGTAATTTGCAGAGCATTCAGTAAGATTTTCTCCAGTATATCCGTGTCCATCAGAAGCAAGATTTTCATGTCAAGGAGTACAGAATGATTGCCCAAGAAGCTTTTCAATAATACTTTTAAACAAATTTAAGTAAAAACAGTTACTAGAAAGCAAGTGGAAGTTTATAGAAATCAGAGCACCACCAAAAATTAAGTAGCAAGATTTTAAAGCAGTCCTTAGTGGTTTTTTTTTTTCTTTAAGCAGAACTGTTTTTGGCTTCTTATCGTCCTGGTGTGAAATTGTCATTTACATTACTCTTTCCACTTGAAAGGTAGGATGTTTTGGGTTACTTTCTGGGGCACCATGGGAAGGCTTTCAGTATGTTTTTTATTACTACTGAGGAGTAGCCTAAGATCTTTTATGTGACTTTCAAGGAACACTTTCACTAGTAGATGGGATGAAAATGCAGAGAAGGCTGGTGATCACTGCTGAATTTCAAAATATAACTGTCTAGTGGGCTATTTCTATTTCCTATACCTTACCAGGGTGGAGGGACAGGAAACAGGAGCAGTAAGGCAATCATGGTGAGTCATCATTCCTTTTGCTTTCTCCCAAGATCACTTCCCATGACTCTCCTTGAAAGAACGGCAGGTCTTGTGCACTGGGAAACTTTAATAGAAAAGCTATGAGCTGTGCTTTCTCAGTCTGCGTGGCAACTAGAATGGCAAATTTGTGACACTTAACAGGCCTGGAATGTCCAGGACCCACTCTCTTTCAGAGTAGTATTAAAGAGAACTATGTTAAATCTTAGGTCCATGTCTAGATACTACTGTTAGATAAACCTTTCCAGTGTATTTGTGCTATACAAGCAAGACTCAAACACAGCTGTAGCTAGTCCCAGTTATAACAGGAGCACCCAAACTCTGTGCCGTGAACTTGGTGTGCTGCTTGGGCAGAGAGAGAAAGCAGGATGGTCATTTTGTCTCCATTTGTCCTTGAATCAGTGGCACAGGACTGGACTGTAAGTTGTTGCTGTTTAATTGCTTGAAACGCTTCTAATAGCACTATAGAAACAGGGTATTTTGAAGGCTTAATTTGTGTGTCATCTTTTGGAGGCCTCTTGTTTTAGAAATTACTACACATGCACATGCATGATTTCAACTTTGTAAAATAATTTCGCATTTATTCCCTCTCCGGGTGTTATGGCACAGTTTCCCTATCATCTCAGTCTTTATAGAACTGGTTGAAATTACACTGTTTTGAACTAAGAAGTAGATATATTTTTAAGGAGTGGTTTGTAGATGAGCTCTGGCATAAGGTTTGTAAAAAGGCAGTTTTTAAAAAGACTTATAACCTCAGGTACCAAAATAACGCATGCATTATTAGTACTTGCAAATCTGCCTACTCCAATATTAACCAAAGCATGCAAGAGAACTTTACTGAATGTAAATCTACCCAGTGCATGAGTAAGTCTCATAGGTTAGCGTATTTTTCCTTGCTTCTGAACAAGGAAGCATTTTCATGAACTTTGTGTTCTAGTTTTTCTATTTGCTTTCAAAATCCTGTCCTAGAGACTGTTCTCATGCTGTCACACGTCTGGTCTATGCAGTATTGCAGCCAGTTCCAAACTGGTCCTCTGAGGAATCCAGGTGTTTAGACATCCAAACGGTTTCTTAAAACCAGTTGAGGCACAATAGATGCAAGATGGAGACAAAAATCCTTGTGTTTGAATGCTGCTAAACAAAATCATGTTGATTGCCTCAGCAGTTTTGGGTTCTAAATTCTGAATAGTGCATTTCAAGTTGTTTGTAACTGATGAAAACCATCAAAAGGCAAGGTGGACCTGGGGCCTTAATTTCTGCAAATGCCCCACAGTGTGTGGGGTGTCTGTCACACCATTGTCCTCAACACAGCCCTACTTGTAAGTGAGCTACTTGCACCCACATTCCTTGAGAAATTGGACTTGGTCAATATATCTAAAAACGTTGAAATTCAGGGTTGATGAGGTGATTTCACAGTCACTCAACCTTAACTGTAAAGTTCTCTCACTGCCTTTTTCTGTGACCCCTGCTTTATGAAAAAAATAAAGGCAAGGAGACCAGAAAATGGAGGGAGCAAAGTTCGAAAGACAGTGAGGACATTGTATGCTAGTGACAGCTTTGTCCTCATTTCACACACCCCTGCACTCCCACACCTACAGATGAGCTCCAAGACAGAATTCCCCAAGTACCGGCAAAGACCATCGTGTGGCAGCATCAAACAGGTAAGAGGAGGAAAAAAACAAAACTAAAGTGAGATTTAACAAACTCTCATGTGGCATTTTGCCTCGAATAGTTTCCACTACCTGCACGCTCTGCAGAAATACCGAAAGAACAGACTCTGAAAACAAGCGCCCCGATCCCCAAGCTCAGCCCTGTTTTCTCAGGACCTACCTGAGCGAACTCTCCTGGAGCGTTGCAGAGCATCACAGCACAGCTCCCACAGGTCCCGTGGAAACCTGCAAACCTGCACTCAAAATAAGATTAAAAAAAAAAAGAGGCAGTTCTTTGCCCAACAATAAAATGGGTATAGTTTTTTTTTCCTTTTCCTTTGAATTCCTTGGAAACGGTGTGATAAAAAGGACTAGGGGATATATACACTCACTCAATGAGGCAGTTTGGCATTTTCACTGAGACACATAAAAATACCATTAAAAACCTGTGCCACGTGAAGAACACATTCATGATTGAATGTGTTACCAGTAGTTAAAGGAAATTTTTACCAATTTATTTTCAATTTCCCCCCCCATATCATCTAATCCAAGCCCTCTTCAATTTCATTGCCTAAGTTTGTTTATATTTGTTGGGGAGAAAAAAACCTGATTAATTTAATAAACTTTATACAAACTATAACAAGCATTTATTAACTATTTAGAAAAGATATTTCTATATATTTTATATATCTATGAATATTGCATATCTAGTCTGATCTAAAATACTGTTTGAGACAAATTCTTCTGTGATGCTTCCTTATGCTCAATGTTTAAAATCTTGGGATTTCATTTTTAAGCTGAAATAGGTAACAAAAAATTTAACCTTAAATGTTTACATTGAGTTTTCAAGTTAAAACCAACCCAAACTAAGTGACCTATAGTAAATTAATGGCAATTGGGGTGTAAGTTATTGGCATACTACATGATAATGTGTCTGTACTTAGTGAAATATATATCATAGCACAACTCTATTTCCCTCTGTTGCTCTTTGAAATAAAATTACTATCATAAAAATAATCTCTTATCATATTGATGTGTTTAATTTACTCCACGGGCTTACCAAGATGAAGGTAGTATTTTTGTACTATAATTGGAAGCATGCCTTCCCTTTTCACATTATTAAATTGTATTTATATCTGTGCAATTTTAAACTATGTTTTCAAATAAACTTTGTGGCTTCAAGGTCTTTTCAGAAATCTTTGAAAATGAGTTACTGGGTTCAGAATTGCTTCAAATCAAATAGAATCTAATTTGTACTACTGATTAAAAGGTTCTTTTTATTGACTATCAGTCACTACATCTGACTTTGCATGAGTTATCTGGAAATCAAGCATGCATTTTAGATACAAAGCAAAACTTTAAAATCGTACTCCTTTGTTAATTTTTAAAGACTAAAATATTATTTAACCTGAAATTGGATTTTGTGATTTTTTTGTTTTTAGAATAAAAGTATTAAAATATATTTCAGTTTTAGGGTCTTTTTCTTTTAATATTTCAGCACCTACTAAGTTGCAGGCACTGTTCTAGAGCAGGACAGTGGTAAGTAAATCAAATCAAGCCCTTGAAGAGCTTAGATTTCTGGGAAAGATCAACAAATACACGAGTAAGAACGCCACGTGCTGCAAAGCGCTAAGAAGAACTAGGCAGGTAAGGGATTCATAGGTGGTCAGGAAAGGTTTCTCATAGGTGACCTTAGAACTGAGATTTAAATTACAAGAAGCCAGCCAAGTGGAGCTGGGGACAAGCGTCCTGGCAGAGCCCACAGCTAGCAAAAGATGCCAAGACAGGAACAAGTGTGGTGTGTGCTTAAGGAAAAGGAGCCCAGGGAGATGTGAGGTGTCCGAACGGAGACGGGAGGACTTCCTGGAGCAGGGAAAGGGCGGACTTACTTACCCCCGGGGGGATGGATGCCACTGAGGTGGAAGTTTGTGTTTCCAAGATGCATGCTAAAGTCCTTGAGTGGTCAGGTTGGGGACGGAGACAACAGGCTCTCCCTCTCGACTGCCCCTGCTTCCCATCTGCGGCAGCACTTCAGGTGGGATTCTGTTTTCTCCTCTAGAAAATCAAGCTGTACATCTTTCTTTCCTGCTCCACTGTTACTCTACATACAGTAAAATGCCATCTACCTAGTGGTGAATTGTGGCTTCTCTCCCCACCTGCTGCATGACTCAAACTCTTATGTCTCCTACCCTCCCACATTAAACGTGAATTATGTTAATGTCCCCAAACAGCTGCTTCACCCCAGTGTATACAGAAGCAGCCCAAGGTCTGAAGGGTCTTTTACATTTCTGTACAGGGCTCCTTGAGGTAGTACCTCAACTAGCCAGTATTTTAGGTCTCACAAGGACTGGCCTATTTTTTTCCTTACTTACATCGCATAATAAATAATGCCGCCTAGTTAATCGTCAATGAATCAGAACGTGAGGAACCAATGGTTAATGTTACTTTAGTTCCACAGGGCAAAAAACTATGATTCTCAGTAGGTGCTCTGCTCGAGTCTGCTCACTGTTCAGAAGGGTGGAGACCAGGCAGTAGAGCCTTTCCAGCCTGAGTTCTTTGAAAAGGGAAACAGAAAAGGAAGCTATCAATTTACTGGAAGCTACCACGTTTCTAACCTGCAGTTTTAAACTCAGTGGGCGCCCAAGGTCCTAAGTCTTTGCTCTACTGATAATTGCATCCAGTCCATAATTAATATTCCTGCAAATAATTAACATAATAGCAAAAACTGTGCCAGGTGAAAAAAATGTCTTAAGAGATTTAAAGACAGGTGAAAGATCCCATCTAATACTAAAAACTGCACAAACTGACCTGGGAAAAAGTAGGCTTGAGAAATTACCAAGATGATGGCCAACACTGCTTGTAGTAAAATTTGCTATTGGTTAAAAACTGATAAAAACAAAATCCTCTCGACAAAATTTAGATTTACAAAATTTGACCTGGGAAAGCTGGACCCAGTGGAAATAACGGCTGCAAAGGGGAGTTTGCAATAGCAAAAGTTATAATAGTGAGAAAACCTGATGAGGATGGAAAACAAACTGATGACTCAGACTGTCCTTATAAAACTTACAGAATTGTTAACAATTAAAGTAAGTTCATCAGAATAGAAAGGAAAATGTAAAAGTCTGGGAAGAGTTTGGGTAAGTTTCTTACCCCCTCCTCTCTCCTCAAATCCCCACTCTGCCCCACACCCCCCCTAAGCTGGCCATGCTTCCTACTTCCCTGAGGCAGTGAAGGCAGACAGGAGAGAACTCCCAGACTCACGGCACTCAGTCTCCTGCTCTCCTGGCTGTGGCATCGACACTCCGGTCCCTGCCTCCTCCTGTCCCCATGCAGGTCTTCCAGGCCCTGCCTAGAGTCGGCTCCGACTTTGTCACCAGATTCCATCACCTCTTGCCTGTTCAAGAGTAATGGCTCAGCACTTCTTCCCTCTCCCTCCTACATCCTCCCTCCTTTGTTTGACCATCTTATTTCTCACAATTAAAAGGAAAAACTTCTCTAAATCCCATCCCACTTCCCCAGTCAGCCATCACCCCACTGCTTCACTTTCCTTGGTAGCAAATCTCCCCCAAGAGTTGTCTACACTCATCTTCTGCAATTCCTCTCCTCCCAAACTGTTCTCATGGAGATCACCCAAGAGCCCAAGCTGATCAATCTCACAGTGAACTCATCTTACTTAACCTACCGCAGTTATCTGACAGGTGATCACTCACCTCCTCAAGACGCCTTCTCCACTTGGCTTCCACTTCCAGGTGCCATCGTCTTGGTTTCCGTGCATATTGGTGGTCTCTCTTCACATCTCCTTCGTGGCTCGTCTTCTCCCTGACTTCTTATGTTGAAAGGCTCAGTCCCTGGACCTCTTATATTTCCTGTCTCCCTCCATTGATGATCTCACCCAGTCCCATGGCTTTAAATACCATCTAAATACCAACCACTCCCATTACCGACAGTCAGGACTTCACTCTCAAAGTCCAGAGCTGTATATCCAGCTTCCTACTCAACATCGACCACGGAGGTCTAACAGGCATTTCAAACCCAATGTATCCCAAACTGGCCTCCTAACCATCCTTCCCCACCACCACCTCCAACCCCACCGCACCCTAACCACCTTAGCTGATTGCAACTACATTCTTCAGTTGCACAGAACAAAAACTTGGGGGGCAGCCTTAACTACGCTTATCCCCTCACATCCCACATCCTATCCAGCAAGAAATTCTATTGGCTTTACCTTCAAATGTGTCCAGAATCTGCCCATCCATACCACCTCCACTGCTACCCCATCCATCTGAGCCATGATCCTCTCCCCTCACTTGCCACAGTAGCTCCTACTTCCTCCCTGGCCCTCCTATCATCTACTCTAAACAAAGAATTATCTTCTTGGACCTTAGATCAGGTCACTGCTCTGCTCAAGACCCTGTAATGGCCCGCCCTGCACTCTAGAGTCAAGCCCTTCCAACACCTCCTGGGCTCAGGTGATCTGGCCCCTTCCACTCTCCTCTCCCACTAATTCCCTTCTCTCCAACCACACTGGTCCCCTTGCTGCTTCTCTGACAGATCAGAAATGTCCCCACCCCGGAGTCAGTGCTCCAGCTAGTCCCTCTGCCAAGCACGTCCTTCCCCCAAAACATCCATTTGAATGACTCCTTCACCTCCTCCAATCCTTCATTCAAATCTCACCTCCAGACGATGCCTTCCCTGAGTATCCAATTTAGTCCTTCAGTCTGCACCTCCACCCCTGCTCTTCATTTTCTTTTTTCCATAGGACTCAATCTCTTCTAACGTACTTACTTATTTCTTATGTTTAGTATCTGTCTCTCCCTGGTAGAAAATTAACTCGGCAAGGGCAGAGACCTAGTCTACTTTGTTTACTGACACAGCTAAGAAAAACAATGCCCAGCACATGGTAGACCTTTAGTATTTACTGAATGATGAACCATGCTATACAGAATAACAAAATAAATTGGCTTAATGGAATTATTTCCTGAAAAAAAAAAAGTCATCAATGCTGGTATAATTCTGATTGTTTTAAAGGAATTTTTTAGACTCAATAGGTCAAAGCCTCCATAGAGGTAACCCAAAATGCTATATGGGTTAACATGACAACATAAAATAGCACAGTAAAAGTATCCTGTGATACTCGAACTCAAGTATTATGCCCACTGAACAGATGGGATGACTGAGTCTTAGGGTATTAAGTGCTTCGCACAGTCACACAGCTACCCTGTGTTGACAACAGGATTTGACCTTGTCTCTATTCTTCTCTTCCCATTATCCCACCCTGCCTCCTGACCTCACTGAAAGACGTTTCCGAGTAGATTTTTAAGTAATTGGCTACATGAGGATAACTCACCATTTTCTTATTAAACTTCCCCACTGTGACTGAAGTTTGTCCCTGACGACATTCGAAAAGCAGGACCATAAGTTCAAACAGCACATACACACACTGGTACACTCTCCCACTGGACACAGTGGGACGGATCAAGGGGATGTAAACAGCAACTGGCTTGCAAACATGGTCCTAAAACTTCACAGTTCTCTGGATTGTAAATGACCCCTCACTCTCCCAATCATTCCCTTTTCCTCTCACCCCCTCACCAAAACATACGGCGTAACACTGGCGTCAGTCATTTCACTTGGATTTTTAGAAGCAGAGGTTCACTCTTTTAAAAATTTTAAGCATTGAATAAACATATTTTAAGTAGTAACTAGCATCTCCTATATGGTAGGCAAAATAATGTCCCCCCACATCTGTGACTGTGTTACCTTACATGGGAAAAAAGGAACACTGCAGCTGTAGTTAAGGATCCTGAGATGGGAAGATTCCTCTGGAAAATCTGGGCAAACCCAATGTAATCATAAGGGTCTCTGTAAGAAAGGCAGGAGAACCAGTGACAGAGATATGACAACACAAGCAGGTGCTGGAAGAAAGCCAGTGCTGCCAGGAGGGCGTGAGCCAGGGAACAAGAACAGCTTCCAGAAGCTGGAAGACCAACGAATGGGTTCTCTCCTCCAGCTTCCCTGCCAGCACCTTGATTTTAGCCTTGTGAGACCCGTTTCCAGACTTTCTCACCTAAGAAATGTGCTGTTTTAAGCCCCTAAGTTTGTGGTAATCTGTTACAGCAGCAACAGGAAACTCATATACAGCCTAGAAACACGGCGTCATAAAAATGCTGAAATCCCTCGATGTAACTAGTGTCGATTCTGCCTATACCTGCGTCAAGGAAGCCACCAGCAAACTGAGAGCCGGAAACCCACAGAAAGGTTTCAACTGATTCCAATGTGCAACTTGAAACCCAGGAGAGAAGTTCTGAAAGACAGCAGACACCCCCGCCCCGGGATAACGTCTTGCCACTGCGGATGTTCCACCACTGACGGGGACCAGGCAACCTCGGGGCCCACACAAAGAAACCCTAGAAAGAAATAAAATTAGGCACTGTCCCACGTTACCTGTTCCACTGATGGATAAGAACCTGCAAAAGGCAGAATCTGTTTACTTGGCATCTTGCAAAAGAAAAAAGAGAAAGAAAAAGCCATAAAGGGACCTCAGATTGTGAGAATAGCTTTTAATTTTAAAACAACTGAAGCAATAAATCATCCATCTCTCTTTCTATCACAGGCAAATACTCTCCCGAAACATCTGAGATATTTTAAACAACAACTGTGACTAGTGCGAAATAAAACAGACACACACTCTTTCAGAAGCCAACGTCAAACCCTGCTGGGCAGACAGGCGCTGGCCACAGGCTGAGCCCTCTGCTGAGGCCGGGAGGAGTGGCAAGATTTGCACAGGATTTTAACACGCCCAGCTCTGAACAGATGAAACAATACCTGGGGAGGGGAAACCACAAGAGAATGTTGCCCAAAGTGAAATAAGTCCGCCCAGCATCCTCATGTGGCTGACATCCCTGGCACCTAGAAGATGCTTAAAAAATAAATGCAAAGCTGGCAGCTTCTAGGCAAAGCTGAAGGGACAGGGTTTGGACTCATTTGCTTTTTTAATAGGGGTCTTATATATATTGGTTTTTATGTAAAAAAAATCTTCTGCTTTCTGGAAGGCGTTCGTTCTGTGCCTCACAGTGCTCCCAACTCCAGCAAAAACATTTGTGTTGCCTCTGTCTGCCTGGATGCTTCAGAGAATTACCTTCCACTCCTACAGCATCTCACTGCCTCCCTGACCCGACCTGGTCTAGAGAAGCACTGTTCAGCAGATGTACAACGCAAGTCACATGTCCAATTTCAAAATTTCTTGGTAGCCACATTTGGAAAAAAGATAAAATTTTAATAATACCTTATTTAATATATCTAAAGTATTGTCATTTTAGCACATAAAATCCATAGAAAATATTGATGCACTATTTTACATTCCCTTTTTGTTACCATGCCTTCAGTCTGGTGTGTATTTCCTGTGTACAGCACCTCAGTTTGGACAAGACGCATTTCCAGAGGTCATTAGCCACACGTGACCACGGATGACTTACTGAACAGTGCAGATCTAGAGACTCGTAACACACACTCTTCCAGGATGACTTATGAGTAGGGAACCTCCATGGCACTGCGTGGGCGATCTCACACACCCGCGTCAGGGTACAGAACCTAGGACCTCTGACCTTAGGTAAAAGATAGAACCACGTTTTATCTAACCCTATCCCCCAGTCCTGCCCCCGACCCTGGCCATTTCCCTGCAGATGGTGTGATTTAGCAACAGTGATGCCTACGAGATGAAAAGGCATCCTTTCTGTGGCAGAAAAACTTATTTGAGGATCACAGCTATAACTGAGTTAGAGTAAGAAAATATTCCATTAAGGTCACAAAGTCAGCAGAAGGTAGCTCTCAGATTTTTTAGGGCAGGAGGTGTTTTAAACAGATTTCTCATTTTTGAGGAGGACAGTAACAAAACACCTTATCAACTGGGAAGTGGAGAGTTTCCAGCGTTGGAGGTCGGAGGGGCAGTGGGTGTTGGAGGAGGGAGATGGAATAATTACCAAAGAAATTACTCAAGAAAGTAGGAATAAGCAGTTGGGGTGGGGACACTAAAAATGAGGCAGGTTCTAAAGTGGGGTGCATGAGCTGTAACAAACCAAAAACCTAACATCTAACCTCTATGTGATCCCTCACATCTCACATGTCTGACCCCAGCTGTAACCATAGGAAAATAAAAATAGAATTGGATGTTAGGGCAGAAAGGGACTTGTGAGCTTACCTGGTCTAACTCATCATTTTAAAGGAAAATGCTGAGAGAGGTACCGTGACCCAGTCCCACCGCACCCAGAAGCGGAGCCGGGCTACAAGGACAGGTGCTCTCACTGTGAATTGCAGGTGAGGCTCCATCCAGTTCAGGCAGAGGGAGTAAATGATGTCGGGGGTAAGAGGCTCGAGCCACTCCCTCCGGCCCACGGTGAGCACAGGGAGTGCCAGGCACGTTCTCTTGTGGGTGGGAGAAAACGGCACATCGATTCAAAGTATTAAAGCAGTGCTGACGTGAAGCCGCATTCAAACATGACTTCTTAATAGTCCCTTCGGCATACTTTTTCTCCCCTCAAAAAAAAAAAAAATCCCAAACTGAACCAAACTGGATTTCTGATTAGTTATATGGGCATTTAGATCAACTGACAAAATAAAAATCTGATAGCTGTATTCTCCAAAGACATATTCATCAGGATTTTACACAAATGGGTATCAAAAGATATTTACAGGAAGAAGGTGCTCTCCTTCACACATACACCCGCACACAGTGAGAATTTCACAATTACACCAGCACGCCTCACACAGAAGAGTCCTAACAGGCTGATGATCAGTTGACAAAATACACACACTATTCCAGTTTCAGTCATAATCTCATCTACATACATGTGGAAAATTAAGCAGTATATTCCAGACTCTGATTCCAGGGAAACTTGCCTTGAAATATATTAAGATATACATGTAAATACATTGGTAAGCATAAAAGAAAACCAGTATTTGCTCCAGTTTTTCCCAACTCTCAATCAGAAATAAAGAATAGCACATATATAAAACTTTGCCTTATAGAAATAGCCCTTTGTTTTGTGACGCTGAAAAAAAAAAAAGGCAGCCATGTTACATTTTCTTACAATATGGTTAGGTATCAAAAGGGCTAAATCTTTTTCTACTGAATGAATTAATGTGTAGCCTATAATCTTAAATACCAACTTTGCACCATTTGTTTTTCAAAGTTTGATTATAAATTTTGTTTTTGTTCAAAATACACATGCCATTTTCTCCACATTTCAATCCAAATTCCCAACCACCCTCCCACCCCCCAAAAAAGGCCTTCACTTCGTACCAGCAGTGAAAAGACGTCATTTTGGATGTGTGTTTGGAGTCATTATTCTATGAGACTCGGCCGTGAGGAGACTGGATTTTGTAAGGCTCCTTAGTGTAGGGGTTTCTACAGGAGACAGGGACCCGTGTCCCAGACTGGGACTGCTCTAGGATGTCCGAGACCATGTTCGAAGGTGACACCAGGGGGCAGAGTTTAGTAGAGGATTTTCACACCATGAGCTCCCTCCTGCCAATCTCATTTGTTCTCAAACTGAAGAAAACATCAGATCAGACAAGAGAGGACACTTACTCTACCAGGACCTGCCTGCGCACAACACTTGTCACACCGGCTCTCGCCAGATCCTCCAAGCACAGCTGGAAGGAGAGGGTAGGTGTCACCACACCATCGTGCAGATGACTGAGGCACAGGGAGGCTGAGGGGCCTCGCCCAGCTCAGCAGCACCCAGGTCCCCGGGCCACAGGCCTCAGGCTCCCCATCCCTCGTACACAAAGTATCACTGATCTCCTGTGAGCAGGGCCCCAATCAGAACCAGAATCCTGACTGCTCATAACTCACAAGTCATCATCCCATTTCTGTATTTCACAGAACTGTGAAATTCTGTGCTGTATTTCACCCAACTGATTCTGCTTTATTTTCCTAGTTTCCAGAAAGATCCTTTCTACCAATCAAATGCATGTTAAGCAGACAGCAATAAATCCTGCTTTATTTGACTGAAGAATCTGAAATAGAAACTCCAGAGGCCCTGGCATTTGGTACAGCGCAGTAGGAAAATTTTAGAGCACTAGCCTTCTACTTTTTTCATCACATTTGAAACTCTGATCCAATTCCAGATTGCAACTAAAATACTAAAATACCAAAAATGGAAACGATGGTCTTTCATAATGTCATGTAAAGTTTCTTTGCAACTGAAACCCTTAAACTGCCCAAGATCACACCGTTGGTCACAGCAGATAAGCAGTGAGGCAAGTCAGGAGGTGACAAGCCAAGAAAGGGCAGAGAGGAGACTCTGGCCCCAGAAAAAGTAGAAACGGAGGCAGATTGCTGGGGGATGAGAAAACGACAGACAAATCTGGCGCAGTTAGCATGATTCCAGGGAGCTGTCACGTGTTATGGCAGGAAGAAATCAGCTATCCTAACTAACAATACACACCACGACGCCTTAGGGGAAGGGCTGCTGACAGACAGAATCCATCTACCTTTGGCAAAGAACAACATGTGCTGCTGTGGGCATCTGTGTTGATACCAGTGTCACAAACCCACAGGGATTCTTGACAGCACGGAAAGGGGCCACAGCCCTTTTTACGCCTGAACATCTAAGTGGGGGAGCTAATTTTTTAAACTGTTCCTGAGTTATAGTTTCTTTAAAATATTTACTTGCTTTCTCCAGCTATGCTTAATACCACCTATTTTAACCTTTAAAAACCAACCCGTCACAGGTTTTCTAGTTGCCTAGAAAGGTCTCACACTCTGGGTCTCATTCTCACACACATTCACACAACCAGATTATGAATTTTGATATGGTTTAAATTAAACATCTCTCGTTGTGGATGTTCTAATCTACTGTACATGGAGAGGTCAGAAACTATTGTGCATCATGAAAAAAATTATGTCACAAGTAAAGCCCAGCCTGGTTACTGATGTTCGATATGAAACAAAAGCGGGCTTTTTGTTTATTGTGGGTGAGGCGACAGGACTGGCCCCATGACCTGGTTTCTCTGGAGGCCACGGCCGCTGACCCCCAAACTACAACAGAGGGCTGGTGGCACAGTCCTGTTTTGATGTGCCAGTGACAGATCCCTCACCAGCAATATGAATACTTCTTTTTTTAAATCATTCTCTTCTTAAACATTTATAAAAAGAAAAACTATCTACAGTAGTGTATCATCACTGATAGAAATTTCCTCCCAGTTCTATTTCAGAAGGCATCAAATGATGTTCTTTAAATAAACTATAAATACCCCATGTATTCCTTCATGTCTGGCTGTCCCAACTTCTTTTTTTTTTTTTTTTTTTTGGCAAATTAAAAAGGCATATGGCTTCTTCTCGCCAGTCTGCACATGAGGTTTAGCTCGGTACCCTGCGGTAAAAGTACAGGTAGCCCAGGTCTTTAGGGGGCCTTTCGGAGGCACAGACTTTGTGGTCGTTGTAGATCACCCATCTGAAAACAAAGACAGAAGCATTTGATGGGTTTAAGTCAGTTCCAGGTAACGCTGCAGAAGAAAGTTACTGCACCAAACCTAAAACAATCAAGATGTTCTCAATAAACCAAACTTAAGTCCGCTGTATGAAGGGAAGAAGAACGCTGGCAGGGAAGGACAACTGCTTTTTTGTTCTCACATTTGATCAAAAAGCAGTTCCCAAGGGAGCCTCCAAACATTTCAAACTCTTTGTTCTCCTAATTTCATTTGTAGAAACCAGAGATGGCCTCAGAAACTGAGTCAAAGAAGTATGTGTTCATTTCAGCCTTAGGTGTAAAACTAGCTAAAAATCAAAAGTAAGTAGACATGCAGTGAACTGTCCAACTATTAAAATACCTTCAAAGAATACTTGGTAAAGTGAGAAAATAATCACAATATGAAGTGGGGAAAAGCAGGTTACAAAATTACACACACTGTGTGTGGACATTAAGCTTTTACAAAAGTTGTAAATACATACACACATTTCCACGTAGGACGTGTGTATACAGACATGCACACCCTCTCCCGATGAAAACAATAAAACAAAGAGAACTGTATCAAAATACGGACAATGGTTATCTCTAGGCTTCCAGACCCCATATTCTCTGTATGCTTTTGTATTTTACAAATTCCTTATAATGAATTTCACTGCTTTTTAAATTATAATTAAGCTATTTTTCTTAAGAAAAGTATTTTTCAAAGAGTCATGGGGCTTGGTAATAAAAACAATTCACTCCAAACCAAGTTCCTGTGCTCAACTATTTTATGAATCAAGTTGAGAAGACAAAACTAAAAGACACACCAGAAAGGAGAGCAGTGGACCCCTGGGTGGGAACCGGTCACCCCTGCAGTGTGGGGCCCCAAGTGAGAGGTTAACGTCCTACCAGGAGGAACAAGGGAACACGCTCCTCCCGCGCCCACATGGCCCAGGCACTGCCTCAGAAGGGATGCTGACCCACAGGCCAGGCTGCTCAGGGGGAGCTCAAGGAAGGGAGACC